CGACAATACGATTGGACGTGTGGTGCTCGTGCGCTCATGCATTCTATAGTACGAATGTTCATGCGAGTCAGAGGGCCGGGTATATATACCACCCGTTTCCGACGCTCTTCAGTTGACATTGTAAAGGATGCTTATAATTGTACATGACATAAATACATGTTGCAAAGAATGGCAATTGAATGTAATAAATCAAGCAATGATAGTAAAACGTTGCAAGATTACATGAGACATGTTGAGCAACAGTCTCATGGTCGCAAAACACACACAAAGACAGCTTCGATTCATCTTACGATCTTTAAAAATCGAACATCACTCTTACGAGTACATAAAACGTTGTAAGACGTTCGCACTAACTTTCGTGCGTTGAATTGCGATAATTTGGATCGCATTTGGTCGCGTCTGAATAGTGTGCATGTTTACTATTTTGAAGAGACTTGATGCGACCACTAAAACACATGCAATGAATGCGAGACATCGTGCAACGTATGCGAGAGCTCGTGCGAAGCTAAAATTTTCCGATCGCAAAGTGTTGTAAAGTGCTCGTGCGCCAATTGTGAAAGGGCCTTTAGATATGTGCTTCTATAAATAGAAATGGAAACTCTGCCTTTCATTATGCATTTCAGATAATACTTTCTTTTATTTTTTGGTCATTATATGCCAGTATCAGTTAATAAGAGCTAGTCTGCAAAATGTTTATCCCTAATGTGAAAAACTATATAAAAAAACTACATTTCCCTGATGTTTTGCAGTACGTCTATTTTTAAACAAGAGTTACTATTAATAGAAATGGACACCTCTGCTTATCATGCTGCGTTCTAGTTAATGCTCGTTTGAGCTTGTCAATCACATTATGTCAATTACAGTTAATGACAGTATGCAAATTTTCCATCTCTATGTGTCTAATTTTAGACATTTGTAACATTTATAGAAATGTGAGCCTATCCTCAATGATGTATGAGTTATATCATACCTTGTTCCTATTGATGAATTATTAGAGAGATCCGTATGTTTATTACTTATGATTTATTGCAGCTATTAAATGATAGAAAACAGACATTAACTGGAATGCAGCATGATAAGCAGAGCTTTCCATTTCTTTTTATTGTAACTCTTGCACCTGTGATGCAAATTTCATTAAATCGGAGAGAATTCATTTTCAAGCCATACAGTAAAATTTTTGGTGCTTACAGAGAATGCTTGTTAATGTATGATTTTCTAAAGGATAAAATTCAATTATGGTCTTTTTAAGCCTTGTGAATTTCTTGGTGGACAACTGAAACTGCTAAGTTTTCTTTAAAAGTGCATTAAAATATCACTTAGATCTTTGTTTATTGAGTATCCTTCAAAAATGACACAATTTTCTGGACAACCAATGCATTATGATGTCACAAAATGCGTCAATTTCCTCATAATCTTAAAAAGACAACAAAAAAGGACAATTTTTAAAGGTATTTCTCGATATTTAATAGAGCGTAACCTCTGAACTAAAATATATAACTACATTTAGTAAATGAACTGTTTTTAGGATTAAAAGACAAGGTTTATTTTTTTTTAGATCAGAGAGTGTGCTCGTATTATTTTTTCTTCACTGCAAGTGCCCAAATATACCTTCTAACTTTAGAATTCAGGAACATTGTAATTTTGTAAAGCTAGTTCTCCAAATCCTGGACTTTTGTGAAACAATTTTAATAGGAGTGAAAACACTAAGAATCTATTTTATTTTGATGCTTCAAATCGAACACCAAGTGTTAATCAATCTATTGGTATATCTACAGGGCCATTTTTATACATCAAGTGAACGAACCGAGCTCTTTGTAATTTTTGCAATAATACATGTATGAAGACAGATTTGTCAAATCATATTATAATAGTATGTTGTGAAGCCAAGACTATTCTGTAAACAAATCACCACATAGAATAATTCATGTCTCTTTAAAAATTTCTCTCCAGAAGGCAGCACATCAAGAAGGGTTATGATTCATGTTTCATTTTTCTCACCAGACGGCAGCACACTCTCAGGATTTTCTGTGTACGTATCTGAAACAGAAGACTGGAGGACAGGAACTCTCTGTCATCAACATGACATACGACAAATACCACAAAATAACATCAATATTGACTGTGTCACTTCCGGGCGCTACGTCACTGTTTACAATACAAGGAATAGAACGATATACCCAAATGTATCCGAATTTTCATATATTAATATATGTGAAATCGAAGTTAAAGGTAACGGTTTTCCTCTCTTTGATTGATGGATAAACACAAAAGAATTATCTTATTTTTTGGATATTTCCTATCACGCTTTCTACATTTTGTCGCCCGCTTGAAAAGTGGGGGATATTAATTTGGGTCTCTCCGTCCGTCCGTACAGCTGTCTAGCTGTCCGTCCGTCATTCTGTCTGTCTGTAACGCGTTCGTTTCCACACGATTTCTCAAGAACCCTTTGAGCTTTTGCAATGAAATTTTGCATATCAGCTCCCTATGGAATAAAGAAGAAACTTACAGATATTGAGGTCAAAATGTCAAAGGTCAAGGTCATAAATTCGCAAATTCTGTCAGTTATAACACTTTCGTGTCCGCGTGATATCTCGAAAACCCTTTGAGCGTTTGCAATGAATGAAATTTTACATAGCAACTAACTCCCTTTTGCCTTAGGAAGACCTTTATTGATTTTGAGGTCAAAAGGTCAAAGTTCAAGGTCGTAAATTTTACCATTATGTCTGTGTGTAACACTATCCTTTCTGGGCGATATTTCAAGAGGATTTTGAGCTTTTGCAATGCAATTTTATACCAAAACTTTCTAGGACCTCTCTCCATATAAAAAGAATCTTCTATACACATAATAAAGATTGATTGATTGATTGATTGTATATTGTGTAACGTCCCTCTCGAGATTTTTTCACTCATATGGAAACGTCACCGTATGCCGGTGAAGGGCTTCAAATTAAGACCTATATTCGGCACTCAGGGCCATTGAACAGTAAGGGTTCTTTATCGTGCCAGCGCTTACCGTGACACGGGACCTACGTTTTTAAGGTCATATCTAAAAGACCCGCGACTTTCACTATTGATGCCGACCGCTTGGCAAAGGAACAGTCACTACCTATTTTTACGTCTTAGGTTTGACGCGTCGCCACGAACGAGAATCGAACCCGGGCCTCCCGATCACGAAGCGAACGCTCTACCACTAGGCTACCGTGAACGGTCACATAATAAAGAATAAGCAATCAAATCTTTCTATGCATATTGACATAAATGTATTTTATTTGCTTCAGTAAACATGAATACATCTAATAATTTTACAAACTCAGTCAGGGGATCCGACTTTTTCCCTAAGCGGAAGACACGAATTCTCTGAATAAGCTTGTTACTTTTGTTTTTTGTTTGTTTTCTTGTGTTGTGTCACTGGTGGTTATTCTAAACAAGCTTTAGCACAAGCTAAACAACCATAGAAGGACAATAAGTAAAGAACATATATATTTTTTTTATTTCGAAAATACAAAAAAAAAAGAAGTAAATAAATAACAAGAAAAAAAAATGAAAAAAAAAATCATGGCGTTTCTTTTTATATGTTTTTTTTTTAATTTTTATGTGTTTTTTTTTTTTTTTTTCTCTTTGTACAATTTTGATAAACGGGACCGAGTCCCATCTTTTTGATTTCGTGCAGTCATAAATTCGATAGTACACCAATTCCAAATATAGTGCATTTGATATAAAATAATATATCCGTAACTCATAATGGTCCGAAAATGAAATTTTATGACAATTAGTAGGGAAAAACTTTGAATGGCTCTAACAATGTCTTTGTTTTCCGATTTGTAAGCAACTCACGACGCTGAAGAATGACACATGACTCGCTTAAATATTTGTAGACGGTCATGGGTATTTTACTAAAAACTGATGAGATAACGTTAATAGAAACATACGAGCAATCTAAATATTGATATTTTTACAAAAAAAAATATTCTGTCTCGATAATTCCTTTTCACCGACATGTATGAATAGCGCAATATTGCAAGAGGTATTGCACATCGAAAAAAATAAACCTTGTAATTAAGACCGATACCAACCTGTATGGTCAACTTTCTTTTAAATAGAATTTAATAAATATATATTTCATCTACGTGACTGAAAGAGAAATCTCTAAGGCAGAAATACAAAAAAAAAAAATACTGGGAACACGAAAGAAACTTTCGGAGATGATAATGGATGTGCTCAGTTAACCCGTACATGTATATAGACAAGAACGGTTTATGCTTAAATCGATTCAATCTTCTTCTACCTAGCTAAAGTTTCATATACAGTTAAATACTCTTACAACGAAATAAGTATTTGGGAGTGTGGACTTTGCTTCGCTATAAGCGTTACTTTTTAGAATTATTAACTCTGCAATTGATAAAACTATATTGTGAATGAAATCATCTCGCTCTTAGCGTCAATTTTACAGTTAACGTGTTTCCTATAAGAGTGATTTATAGTATACAGTAAAACTCTGTTATAACGAAGTCACTGGGACTTATAAATCACTTTGCTATATCCGTAATTCGTTATATCCGTATAAGGAATTCCTAAAATTCATATAGTTGGGGATCCAAAATGACTTCGCTATATCCGTGAATTCGCAATATTCGTGTTCGTACTAAACGAGTTTTACTGTATATGCGTGCCAGGATTTGATTTTTTCTTCAAACTTTACCACTCACAGCACCAATAATATAGGCAAATTTCACTACATGGTAAAAATGCAATTTAGAGAAATCAGCGACACCAGTGTAACTAAAATGATCGTATGAAAACACCACTTAATTATCTCACGCTTTCTTTATCAGTAATACTACTTCACGTTTCATATCAACTTCTTATTAACCAATAAACCTTTTGTATCTCAATTAATCACGTAACTGACTTACCTAACCATGGATTTCAATAACAAGAGTTTGCAAATTAACAAATATTTATCATTTTAATAATTTTAATTTAATTAACTATAATAAAGAAAAACTGATCTAAAATTATAGTCTCAATTCGCTTTAAATAATGTACCGTGTTTTAAGTAATATAAAATTTCTAATAAATTTTATTTTCTGCCAGTCATATGAACCATTGTTGGTTGTTGATTAAAATACAACAATTGTTTGTTGTAACTTGAATGATTGTCTTAGGCGAAAATCGCATTTTATAGCAGAAATCGATATTTACGTTACTGTCGCCGATCATAGTGTAGTTTTTATTTTAAACCAAAAAGAAGTTTTAAATCACTTACATATCTTTTTCTTAGTAAGATTGTCCTACATTTGAGTTATATTTTCTGAATATCACACCCTTCACACATATGCGTGTCACAAATTTTTAAAAATTTTAATATATTTATCAAATTTTGATGTCACCGCAAAATTATTACTTTTCTATTTGGAAATTCAAAAGGACTTGAAGGATTGCTGAACTGACTCAATAGGATTAAGTTGTAACTTTTTAACATCATGAACATTGCATGGAATGGTAAAAAAGACACTGTTTATCTGTATTTATCAAAAATAGTCCCCCTTTTCTTATGAGTCCAATAAAAAATTCATCGATATTTACGTGTTAGTATTTATTCACTTAAGTAAGAGAGATACACTTTTTCCTATGGGTTAAATTGCCTTACACTCAAGCACTAGAATATGCCTTTAATTAACAGTGGAATAATTAAACAACAGCATTAAAAGTTACGATAAATCTCAGAAAGATATTTACGTTAACCGATATTTACATGTACGTTACCAATATTTACGTAACCATGTTTTAAAGTAAATTAGAATCAAATTCTTAAGCTGTTTGAGCAGATTTGCGAGTGAATCTTAATGATCATGAAGAAATACACTGTTTCTTAAAATGGCATTTTTTTGTAACAAGAGTGCAGAAAATGCAAATGGAAGTGCACATGCAAAGGTGAACATTTTTTATTCAATATTTCGTGCATCCGTGTGATTTGAAAATTGAATTGACATAATATTATTCACAAGCAGAATTGTGGTTCAATGATCGAATGTTTCCATTTTGAGCAATTGGTTAATATTGCCTAGTTTTAAGTGTAATGCACGTTATCATTCAGAACGTTAATCTGACACAAAACTTTCTTAAAGTTTGTATTTTGCTGTTTGTTTGAACTGAAAGTGTATCATCAACTTAAAAAATCGTTATATACACCTAAATTGTATACCAAGCTAAACATTTTGAAGAAGAAAATATCATTTTTCGTAGGAAATATATAATTCCACAGAATAAGCGCTGCGCTGCATGTGTGTGTGTGTGTGTGTGTGGGGTGTGTGTGTAGGGGGTGTGTGTGTGTGTGTGACGGCTGTGGGTGTTGGGTGTCAAGAAACTGGTCGATATTTAATCCATTTCCATTTTTGTTGCTTTGCAAGAAATACATGTATTAAATTGTGCACCTGGTTTTTCCCATATGAATTGATGCTTAGACATACATATAGAACTTAGAACATATGCGTCTATGCTTTAATGGTACTGAATATTCAATTTACGATATATTAATGAAGAATGTACGTATATTGCTCTATAGAGCACATACAATATGCAACTGTAATTATCAACAAACCTTTTTAAGGATGGTGGGGGTAACTTTGTTTTGTTTTTGAGATTTGACGATAAAGTTTTCACAAGCAATTAAGCATTTGAAATAATCAACAGATTAAATGGTGGAAAGGGGTGTCATAAATTAAATGATTCCTCTACAGATAAGGAATAACTTGAATTTTCAATTCAACCCTTTGTCAAGAGCACAGATAAGAAAATTCATAAAATTCAATAATTTGAAATAATATATTCATTTTCCCCGAATATACTTTTATTTTTGTTTGATATCTATGTGCGATATTTACGTGATATTTAACAAACACTTCGTAATCAGGTACTGGCGAAATATTTTAACTGCTGATATTTTAATAATATGCATTTCTCTGAATAGATTAATAAAGAATTAAATAATGACGTATTTTAGGTAATATTGTCATTATTTAGCTTATCGTCAGATTTGATAAAAAAAACTTTTTAAAAGAAAAAGAAGATAATTTCTTTTAAGTGAAAAATATGCCTGTTTTGTTTTTACTATAATAATTGAATCAAAGATTCCACACCCTTTTACAAATGTGCTTAAACGGTTTCATAAATGTTTATAGTTAACAAAATTTGATGTGTATTATCTTAATTTTGTATTTTTTAAAAAAAATCTTTCGTTTCCAAATATGGCTTTTCAACATCACGTAAATATCTTGGTGTAAAATTAGCCCTCCAACCGCTTTTATTTCGAAGGAGGTCAACAAAACACAGCATGAAGTATGTAAATCAAATTGTGATTTTTAATAACTATACACTTTCATGTTTCAAATGACATATAAAAGTGTTAGTTTCAGTTCACAATTTTTTTTTTGACTTTTCCCAAAGTCGATTTGGTACTATAAATGGAGAATGTGTTTCTCTCTTATCCAATCAAAAACTGTATTCTACGTATAACTCTGACAAGGTCGTTCCCAAAATCATATTGTAATTCGAGAGAGTTTTCCGAATGTAAAATAGCAATCTTAACTAAGTTATCATTATTTACTAGCTGTATAAAATCAAATCCTTCAATATATGAGATATCATATAGAATTTTTCAAACATGTAGATATTATTAGTACTATCTTCACTTTTTATGTAGCAAGTGAGTAGGGAAATATAACTCACTTGTCTCAAATTTAAAAAGGAGCTTTAACCAGAAAACTGAAATACTGAGAATTGAATTTAATGAGGAAAAATCTGGTGTTTTTCTTTTGTATTTAAAAACACTCCTTATTATTATGTTATGTTCGTCTTCTAAAAGTTATAAGCTACATTTTTTTATGTACGAGACACTTTGTTATTTTTCATTATTTTTATCTTGAAGATAGGCTTGCAGTTCTTTAAATTTGTTGCAATATTTGTAGGATGTGACCTGGGATTTTTCGGAGAAAATTGCACGAGATGTCCTCAGAACTGTTTAAATAACACATGCCACTTTCAGATAGGAGAATGTTTTGAGTGTAAGGATGGATACAGAGGACAGTATTGTCAAACAGGTATCTGTGTTTACTTTTATTTGATAGTTAAAAAATTGTTGTCAGGTCTTCACTTTTTTTAAATGTCAACGTTCTTTTTCTTTGATATTTTTTTTTTATTTGGACGCTTTATCAGTGGTTGGAGGATTACAGTTAAAACTGAGTCTTGTCATGGCCTCGAATAACCAAAATAATATATATTCAAATACTTTGAAATTTAATTTCAAAAGTATTTTGGGAAACTGTAAATATAGAAGATCGGTTGACAATAAGAACAAGATGTTCATGGGCTATATCGCTCACCTGAGCACATGGGCTGGTTTAAAAAACACAAATCAGCTTAGTATTTAATATCGAACTTGTTTGGGGAAGGGCAGGGTTGAATTTTTTTTATTACTTGAGAATGTCACTATATCATTTATTTTCCATACTTGAGAAGAAGAGTTTAAAGGGGGGGGGGGGGGGGTCATGATTTGAACAAACTTGAATCTACACAACCTGAGGATGTTTCCACTTGAGTTTCACCTTTCCTGGTTCAATGGTTTTGAAGAAGAAAAAAATAATGATGTTCCTATATATTCCAGAGTAAAACTTTGATCAGCCATGCCATTGTGGCCCCGCCTACCCCTGGGGATCATGAATTTTACAAATTTGAAACCACACAACCTGAAGATGCTTCCACATCCGTTTAATCTTTCCTGGCTCAGTAGTTCTGGAGATTTTTTTTAATAAATCCTAGATATTGCTATGTAAAACTTTGCTCAGCCATTGTGGCATCGCCCTACCCCCGTGGTTCATGTTTGAACAAACTTGAATCTCCACTTTCTGAGGATGCGTCCACATGACTTTCATCTTTCCAGCTCCAATGATTCTAGAGAAGATTTTTTTTTTAAAATGAGATTCTTCTATGGTTGTATATATATGCCATCTATATAATTGATTTTTTTTCAACATAGCATATCAAATTAAATCAAGATAACTATCTCGTCAAGTGATGATAACTTTCTTGTTTGTCGACAAACACAGATTTTATCTTGTAAAGTAAAGATAAGTTATCGTATTTTTTCGATAGCCTTCTCGACAAAAAGAGATAATTTATCTTCTCATGTCAAGATAGCTATTGCAACAAAATGTGATATCTCACTTGACGAGAGAGTTATCTCGATTTGAAATAATATGCTATGTTGACATAAAATTATGTGGATGGCGTAAATATGCCACGATATTTTTCCTATGTATTCCTAATTAAAATGACATAACATAAAATTAAATCAATATTTGCATAAAAACAAGCATGAATATTATAAAGGCTGCAATGTACAACTGTTTTAATGAGGTCAAAACATATGTCATGTATCCTTTTAATTAATCATTTCTGAGGAGAGAGAAGATTTGTTTTAAGCTTTTCAACAGTACTAAACACTCGCTACTTCGAATTAACAACAATAATTTATAATTTAATACATTTAAACAGTAAATTTCTAGGCTTTTGCGCTTGAAGAATACAAAAATTATGAGATATAGTCAACCCGTAAGTGGAGCTTTAAGTTATGGGATATGTATTTCAAACATTTATTCTTTGTACTACTTTTCTGCAGAATGTGACCAAGGTTTCTATGGACGACAATGTAGTATGACATGCAGTGATTCCTGCTTGGGAAGACTTTGTGATCCTACAACAGGTCGGTGTAATAGCTGTATTGATGGCAGATCAGGATTTTTCTGTGAAAC